AAATAAACTCTTAATGCTCAATGCCTTTTTGTATCAATTCTTGAATTCTTTCTCAAGGAGATCAAGGACCCATTTCCAGTAACAAATTTAAGAATTATAAGGGACCTAAGAATTCATCCTGCCCAAATTTTCCATCTGATATCGAAATTTCTAGCACATCTCTAATATCCTGGTAGCACTGACCCCAACAGAGGGAAAGCAGTACCTTACGAAGGAACTCATAAGTGCTTGAACAACTATAATTAGGATTTTAAAAAATATGTGCTAAGTCAGTCCTCTCACGTTTTTAGTTCTAATTAATCCCTCTTCTACCTTAATCTTTTCTTACACAATGCAGTTTTGGGTCCCCTCACAATCCAGGTCCTTCTTATGCACAAATTCCAGTGTGGAACACACACCTCTGCAGGCATGGCTGAGTCACCGCTGAATCAGAGCTGAATCTTCATAACAGGGCTCCAGACACTCCTGTTTGTTTTGAGTACAATGTTTCTACTAATAGGAGTATGTCTGGGTTAGTTTTGGGACAGTCCTATTGTGCCGCTAACTAACTTTCCCAAGTTTGTTATTTGTTTCTTAAGCCCACATTATACTATAGTGATTAGGGGTAAAAACTTTAAAAATCTGAAGAAAGGAATTTCACTCATCTGTGGAGTAAAAGACCAAAGTAAAAACTGAAGGACCAAAACAGCAGCAGACTCACAGAACCCAAGAATGGACTAACAGTTACCAAAGGGAAAGGGACTGGGGAGGATGGGTGGGAAGGGAGGGATAAGGGGGAAAAGGGAGTATTATGATTAGCACACATAATGTGGGGGGCAGGGGTGGGCACGGGGAAGGCAGTATAGCACAGAGAAGACAAGTAGTGATTCTATAGCATCTTACTATGCTGATGGACAGTGACTGTAATGGGGTGTGCAGGGTGGAGACTTGATAATGGGGGGAATCTAGTAACCACAATGTTGCTCGTGTAAGTGTATATTAATGATACCAAAAAAAAATCTGAAGAAAGAATTTAAAAACCTTATGTTTTTATTTAAATGAATAACGAGTATGTTGGAAAGATTATCCTTCGCCATGGATGATACTGGAGAGAAAGGAATCCCTAAGACATAGAGTAGATGATTCCAACTTGGTACGTAAACATAGACTAGATCCTTGGGACCTGCAGAAGGATTCCCTGAAGAGCCCACAGAGGTTAGGAGCAATCTTAAAGGCTTCAAAGAATCTTCTTTAAAATTCACTCAAACATTTGATCTTCAAACCTTTTTTTGAAAATTTTTATTGAAGTATCGTTAATATACAATCTTATATTGGTTTCAAATGTACATTACAGTGGATCAACAGTCCCTATGATGAACTTACATTGTGATTGCAAATTATTGTGCCCTTTTATTCCCCCTTCACCTCCCTGCTCCCCACATCTGCCCCAACCCCTCCCCCTTTGTAACCACTAGTCACTTCTCAGTGTCTATGAGTCTACTGCTGTTTTGTACTTGTGTTTTGCTTTGTTTTATATTCCACATATAAGAGAAATCATATGGTATTTGTATTTCTTCACCTGGCTTATTTCACTGAGCATAATGCCCTCTGGATCCATTCATGTTGTTGCAATTGGCAGGATTTCTTTTCGTTCAATGGCTGAATAACACTCCATTGTGTATATGTGCCACCTCTTCTTTAGCCATTCATCTATTGATGGACACTTTGATTGCTTCCATGTCTTGTCTATTGCAAACAGTGTGGCAAGAAACATAGGGGTGCATATATCTTTTTGAATCAGGGAATTTGTTTTCTTGTAAATTCCTAGGAATGGAACTACTGGGTCAAATGGTATTTCTATTGTTAGTTTTTTGAGGCACCTCCATATTGCTTTCCACAGCGGCTGTACCAATTTGCAGTCCCACCAATAGTATAGGAGGGTTCCTATTTTTCTGCATCCTCGCCAGCATTTACTTCTTGTCTTTTGGATAGTGGTCATTGTAACTGGTGTGAGGTGATTTGTGGTTTTAATGCATTTCCCTGATGATTAGTGATGTGGAGCAACTTTTCATGTGCCTGTTGACCATAGCATTTCTTCTCTGGAGAAGTGTCTGTTCAGATCCTCTGCCCATTTTTAATCGGATTTGCTTTTTGGGTGTTGATGCATGTGAGCTCTTTACATAGTTTGGATGTTAACCCCTTATCAAATATGTCATTTACAAATATACTCTCCCATACTGTAGGATGCCTTTTTGTTCTACTGATGGTATCCTTTGCTGTACAGAAGCTTTTTAGCCTGATGTAGTCCCATTTGTTCATTTTTGCTTTTGTTTCCCTTGCCCAGGGAGATGTGTTCAGGAAAAAGTTGCTCATGCTTATATTCAAGAGATTTTTGCCTATGTTTTCATCTAGAGTTTTATGGTTTCATGACTTACAGTCAGGTCTTTGATCCATTTCAAGTTTACTTTTGTGTATGGAGTTAGACAATATCCAGTTTCATTCTCTTACATGTAGCTGGTCCGTTTTGCCAACACCAGTTGTTGAAGAGGCTGTCATTTCCCCATTATATATCCATGACTCCTTTATCATATATTAATCGGCCATATATGCTTGGGTTTATATCTGAGCTCTCTATATACCACCGATCTACAGTATATAGAGTACCAGTGCCAGTAAGAAATTGTCTTGATACTTTGGTTTTGTAGTAGAGCTTGAAGTCAAGGAGTGCAATCCCCACAGCTTTATTCTCCTTTCTCAGGATTGTTTTGGTTATTTGGGATCTTTTGTAGTTCTAAGTGAATTTTAGAACTATTTATTCTAGTTCATTGGAGAATGCTATTGGTATTTTGATAGGGACTGCATTGAATCTATAGATTGCTTTAGGCAAGATGGCCATTTTGACAATATTAATCTTCTTATCCATGAGCATGAGATAGGTTTCCATTTATTGGTGTTTCCCTTAATTTCTCTCATGAGTGTCTTATAGGTTTCAGGGTATAGGTCTTTCACTTCCTTAGTTAGGTTTATCCTAGGTATTTTATTCTTTTGATGCAATTGTAAATGGAGTTGTTTTCCTAATTTCTCTTTCTGCTAGTTCATTGTTGGTATATAGGAATGCAATAGATTTCTGTGTATTAATTTTGTATCCTGCCAGTTTGCTGAATTCAGTTATTAGTTCTAGTAGTTTTTTGGTAAACTCTTCAGGGTTTTCTATGTACAATATCACGTCATCTACAAATAGTGACAGTTTAACTTCTTCCTTACCACTTTGGATTCCTTTTATTTCTTTGTGTCGTCTAATTATCTTAGCTAGGACTTCCAGTACTATGTTGAATAAAAGTGGTGAGGTTGGGGATCTACAAACCTTTCACTAAAGCACTAACAATGATCTTCTCCTTCAGGGTTGCTTTTTGGTGTGTTTGTGGTTGACATAATTAAAAGGAGCCCTGTATCTAACCTCTGTGAGGGAAGCCTCCATGAAAATTTGTGATCCCCACATCATGTTATTCCCAGCAAATACTAATATTCTGGAGCCACAGAATATTCACCAGAGCCACAGGTCAACTGAATAAAAATGAAAATCTGTCCTCATAAGGAGAACATTTCTAGTGATCCTTCTGGTAATAGTAGCTTGCCAACTACCCTTTTCTGAATAGACAGTCATTCTACTGCTGGAGGAATGGAAGGAAAACTGAAAGAGCATCTGAGTCCTATCTCTCAGCTTTGGGTTAGGCCCACAGTTTTAGATTAAGCTGGTTAACGGCATATCTGTACTGCTTTAAAGTGACATGATATATAGCCTGTGATGTAATGTGTTGCATGAGTGTTTCTAAAATGAAATTGCTAAGTGCATACTTAATTGGGCCCTATTACTAAAAAACAGTTAATAAGCAACAGGAATACTAGTTTCTATATTGCTCTTGAAACAAGAGAAGCAACTTAAAGTCAGAATTCTTGAAATATAAAATGATTATCTACCTTAATTTAAATAATATACATAAATTAATTAAATTAATAATAACTTGATATAATATTCCTAAAAGTTAATGTTAATTTAATTTTGTGAGTTATGGAAATATATGGTTGGTCAGCTTACTCTCATATATATTTATCCTGAAAGTCAATAGAATCCAATCCTGAATAAGATCCTAAGAGACAAAGTAACTTGCCCCCGTAATACAGTAACAATGAGGAAGTGTTTTCATCTCCACAGGTAAAAGTTTACTGAACTTTTGTCAGTAAATTTCCTGACAACTAAAATGCTATAGTTAAATAAACTAAAAAATACCATCACATAAAGGCAAGCTAAAACACTTCTTGTAAGTATAAGGCATCATATTTTTTTCTTTCTTTTCTTTACTTTTGCCTAGAAGTGTGGAATACTTCATGTTTCATAACCATGACAGTTCTAAGCATGTCAGGACCCAGTGTGCACTCATTTATACAAAGTGGCTTTTCCTTTGCTGCTACTAGCTGAGTCATGTTATAGGAAGATCAAAGTGCACCTAACACAGAAACAGTGCATAAGACTCAGCTATGGCTGAAGGTGGGGCCTCTTTATAGTGTAAAAAGGACCACCTTTTTATTAAACCTACTACTTAGAAAGACCACATATTGATCTCTTGCATATTAAATAGAACTTACAACTCAATGTCACAATTGCAATATATTATAAGGTGACTATTCTCCCATGACACAACTCTTCTAATAAAAATGCCCCTAAATATTTCTCCCACAAGACAAGGAGGGTTACTGGAGAGGAAGCATGCTCACTGAAATCCTTCTCTGTTATGCTCACAGGACTTAAAAACAGCTTCGCTTTGCCATCGGACATCCAGCAGGGAGACAAGGCGCCTGGATTTGGGTAAAGGTTCTGCGTAGCTGCTTCCTGAGGCCCCACTGAGTTCAGGGAAAAAACTGCAGTGGGCCCTGTTACCACCGCGGAGCTCTGGCGCCCCTCAGGGGGGCTTCCCTGTCACAAGAATTCACCATGCTCCAGGCACAGATGATCCGTATTTTACCTTCAACTGCTCTAGGGCAAAAGATGAACCGTCTTGCTGTAAATTCTCAAGAATCTGTTCCACAGTATAGGCTGAGAACCAACTGTAAAAAAGGAGACACATCATCTCACCAACGTGCAAGTGATTTTCTCTTTCCAAGATAGAAGTGAATCTAACCAGGCTTCCCCCAAGCCCATTTCAATAATGAAACATTTCCTAAGCTGTTTTATAGGATGATGAAACAAATTGCTTCTCTGGGTAAGTGTTTGCAATCTACCTTCACTAAGGCAAAACAAAGCCTAAATTTTCTCTTTTGCTTTCTTGCATCTACTACATGAAATATATGACATCTTAACTGTGAAAAACTGATGCTTCTAAAATGTAGAAGTGTCGTACTTTTCAATTGTTTTCCTCCTCTTGCTCCTTAACCCATCTGTCCATCCCTCAAATCACTGCATAAAATCTTTTGCTGATTAGCTTCATAAGAACTTCAGAAACGATGACTTTACAAAGATAACAGGTATGTTCACTCAGTTACTATTTTCTAGCCTCTTCTTTCTATTAAAAAGAAAAATGGTGTTTTGCACTAAAATGATTCAGCATGATAGTACTTAAATAATGGATTTATCTCCCCCTGAAAGAGTAGGCAAAAGTACTTTAAAAGTTAAGTGAACACTTCCCAATATCAGAATCTGGTGCCTTATCAAATGATAAAATTACAATGTTAGCAAATTCAATTTAATAGTCTTTGGTTCCAAAGCAGTAGGCATAATTGAGATCTCTCTTTAAGTACCTGTTTATTTTGTCCATGTGTTCTTCAAGTATAAAAGACTTGTTTTGATCAATCTTGGACTGTTTGAAAAGGGAAATTTTTCAGTTAATTTGAAGTAACTCAAATATTTAAGAATTCTTAAAAATACCATATTTAATACTACAGTTTATGAAAGACTATCACTTTTAGTCAAATTATACCCAACAGTCTCATAAATAACTTCCACCAATGTTGGAAATTCAGTCAATAGGTATTATTCCAGACTAAGTCTTAAAAGTGCCTAAGGCAAAAAATGTTCCTGTATTTTCATTTACCTGTCACTGTATGTGATACATTATCATTAAACTGTGTCAATAAAATTGTGATAGTAGGTAGATAGTGGGACATGATCAGGGAAGGGTTGGGGGACTTTGGTGGTGTTTACATTCGGCTGGGTGCTTGCTTGTATGCTATAAATTCTATGCAAACTGTTCTCACAGGGTGTGGAGTCAAAATATAGATAGTAGACTGGCTAAAATCAGCTGGTTCCAACATGGAGGATAAATTGACTCAAACTTCACCCCCGAATGCATTAGCATAGTAAAAATCATGCCTCCCTGCACCATGCGGTTTCTGATTGGGACGAAATATAGTAAAAAATCCCTCTGCCCAATGTGAGGGTGCAGCTAGCCCAAACTGCCAATGAACTCCATCTGTCTTGAAACCTAGTCCCACTTAGTGAATATTCACCTTTCTTTATATAAAAAAGGCTCCCTACTGTTTCCTCTGTGTGACTTCCTCTGGGTCTGCCTGCACCCCAACTCTCGGGTAGTATACCCTTGTCTTTCTCTAAACTTTTATTCTCCAAATAAACTCTTAATGCTCAATGCCTTTTTGTATCAATTCTTGAATTCTTTCTCAAGGATATCAAGGACCCATTTCCAGTAACAAATTTAAGAATTATAAGGGACCTAAGAATTCATCCTGCCCAAATTTTCCATCTGATATCGAAATTTCTAGCACATCTCTAATATCCTGGTAGCACTGACCCCTACAGAGGGAAAGCAGTACCTTACGAAGGAACTCATAAGTGCTTGAACAACTATAATTAGGATTTTAAAAAATATGTGCTAAGTCAGTCCTCTCACGTTTTTAGTTCTAATTAATCCCTCTTCTACCTTAATCTTTTCTTAGACAATGCAGTTTTGGGTCCCCTCACAATCCAGGTCCTTCTTATGCACAAATTCCAGTGTGGAACACACACCTCTGCAGGCATGGCTGAGTCACCGCTGAATCAGAGCTGAATCTTCATAACAGGGCTCCAGACACTCCTGTTTGTTTTGAGTACAATGTTTCTACTAATAGGAGTATGTCTGGGTTAGTTTTGGGACAGTCCTATTGTGCCGCTAACTTACACTGAACAGTTGAAACTTTTTTTCTAAACGGTGCTGGAAAGCCCCTTAAGATGGGGGCTGGTTGCCAAGGGGAAACCAACCAGGTGATTAGAAGGTTGGAACTTTCAGCCCCACCCTCCACCTCCCCCCAGCCCCCCTTCCACCTGCAGTACACAGAAAGGGGATGAAAACTGAGTTTAATCATCAATGACCACAGATTTAATCAGTCATAATGAAGCTCCATAAAAACCCAGATGGATGGTTTGGAGGGCTTCTGGGTTGGAGAATACATCCACATGTGAGGAGAAGTAGTACACCCCAGCTTCACTGGGACAGAAACTCCTGGGCTTGAGATCCTTCTGGACCCTCACCCTATGTATCTCTTCACTGGGCTATTTATTCATATCCTTTATTGTATCCTTTATGTTGAACTGATAAACGTTAAGTGTTGCTCTGAGTTCTGTGAGCTGCTCTAGCAAATTACTAAGCCCAAGCAGGAAGGAGGGTCATAAGAAGCCCAATTTATAGCCAGTCAGCCAGAAGTACAGGTGACAACCTGGGACTTAAGACTGATGCCTGAAGTGGAGTTAGTCTTGGGAATTGAGCCCTTAAACTGTGACTCCCGATGCCATCTCTAGGTAGACAGTGTTAGTATAGAAATGAATTATAGGACACCAAAATGGTGTCATAGAGAATTGCTTGATGTGTGGAAAACTCACACATCTGGTATCAGAAGTGTTGTGAATGTGGTAATAGTATAAGAGTAGAGGAAAACACAGGGCCTATGTTCCCCATTAGTCCATTAAATTTCACATTGTTACTATTAAACAGATCACTCTAAACTTGAGAGTTTTTTTATTCACTATTTTTTTCACTAATTATTCTTTTAGTTTCAAATCAATTTGATCAAAATGCTGCCAACATTCTCATCCAAATCACTGAGGAAAAATACTGAATAAGACGAGGCCAAGATGACTTTATCTACAAATACCTACACAACTCTTTGGTAAACCCTTCAATCTATACTCAGTGTAACCTGTCCTGTATTCATCCAACCTGACAACATGACTGTTCAAGGCTTTGACAAATCTGATGAAATCCTCACACGCTCACTGCACTGAGCCTTCAGGGACCTTGCCAATCTGCACTTTTATTCTTCAGTTCTAGGCAAAGTTTTTGTATTATTTCTATTTCCTCCCCTCTACCTTCTCTGTTATGAATTCCAATCACTGGATACTGGACCTCCGGGAATAATACCTCTAATTTTCCTTTCTATACATTTTCTATTTTATTGTCCTTTTAGAGTTCTCCTCAACCATCAGTTTTAATCTAATCTGTTACAGATTTTTCCCCCTTTTGCTATCATATTTTTTAATTCTTTCTATTTGACTATGTCTCTTTATAACATCTGTCATTTCACAGATGAAATATTTCTGTTATCTAAGATAATGACAGGGTTTTTTTTTTAAGTTCCTTTTTTCTCCCTGCTTTGTCTTCAAGTGCTTTTTTTCTTTGTTTTGGCCAATCTGTTTTTTATGCCTGGCAATCCTTGTTTTTCTGTGGAAGCACTCAAATCAGGAAGCTTTGTGCATAACATCAATCACAGTTTATTTATAATATAATAAGTATTAAAACATATTTATACTATGTTCTGCCTCTTTTCAGCAGAGCACCTCCTACCTCTGAATTCAGTCAGCCAGGCCTGTCTGATCTGGACTTTGCAAGGAGTTAGTCTCTACTCTTCTGCCAGGCCATGAGAGAGTAGCTGCTCCTAAGGGAGGAGGAGGTTTGGGGACCTCACTGCTCCTTATTCAATTTGTAGAGATGTGGTTTTTGTGCCCCACTCCACACCTAGTCCTCAGAGGGACCTGGTATCTTACATAAGGGCTACACCAGGAACTGGCTTGCTCCTCACTGGCTTCCCCCTTGGAAGATAAGATGTTTAGTGTTCTTATGTCTCAAGTAGCTGCCGTCGTACTTCTGCTTTCAAGCTTCCAAAATACTGACATCTCATGCCTGCCATTGTCTCCTCTTCTGTTCTATGTGTCTTTATGGATTTATGCCTTTTTTATTCTTTTGCTATGATTTTAGTGAGGTTTTAGGAGGGACCGTGTATTCAGTCCATCATGTTCAACTAGAAGTCACGTAGCATTTTTACACTTTCTTGGCTCTTAAAAGAAAATTTAAGTTAGAAAACTCAGGTAAGGAATTAAAAGTAAACACTGCAATATACTTTACTATATTTAAATATATACTAGAATTTCACTTTAGCAGCTCCACAAATGTGTCAGCATTGAACTTCCATTAGAGAAATGTCACAGTGCATTGTAAAAAGCCCCTGCAAGAGCCATTCACCAAACTCAGCACTGAACTCCACAGTAACAGAAGGCAAGCTGTGCAGTCACACAGCACAGTCATCTTAAATGGCTTTCCTAACAATTAGGAAGCACTGATCACCCCATCAAGATTTAAAGTAAATAAATCCTAGTACATTTATTTCTACCCACAAACTATAATATTCACCAACTGCTAACTTTTCAACCACTTCCCCTGACCCATGAATTAAAATCTGAGTTTAGAATACTGACAAGATTACCTTTGTGTGGTAAGTTTTTAAGAGATCTGCAATATTTTCTTTTGAAGGAGATTTCAGGGCTACCAAATCTTCTTCTAACGTGCCCAACTAAAGGGGGAAAAAGAAAAAGAAACAGATTTGAAACCCCAGAGAAACACAGGAATTTTTTTTTAGAAATCTTACATTCTGTTTAAAAATTCTTGTCTTAAAAAAATATATATGATGCTCTCCCTTTAGCTGAATCATTGAAGAAAATTTTCACTGAAGCTGAATGCACTACAGCAAGTATTGCCTTGTAAGGAATGGTAAAGATGGAAGAAACTGAAGAGGAGAAACAGAGACACTCATCTTTGTTTCCCTCTGGTTATTGAGCACTTGAAATGTGACACTGCAACTACAGATACGAATTATAAATTTATTTTGATTAATTTTAACTAAAGTTGACCCATATGACTAAAGGCTGGTATAGTCAATAAAGTAGCAGTTAGCTCTCCATCTATCCCTCACATAGTTACCTTATGCTCAGCAAAGGGGGACACTTTACTGTTTCTAAAACGTAGCTAATGCTTTCCTGCCCTCGTGGGCTTGCTTAAATGTTGCCTCTATCCAGAATGCCTTTTTCTGACAGGCCCAGCTGAGCTACAACCTCAGTGAGAAAACCTCCACTCCTTTCTTGTATGTAAACTCTTCCTCCTTTCAATCCACTGAGTACTTTATTTTCTTTGTATTCTGTTTTTACACTTATCATACTTTACTCTGTCAAATGAGACAGATGGTTATTTACCTTTGGTACCCACCTCTATCCCAGTTCCCACCATGTATTATTCATTTCTGTTATCTTCCACAGGCCCTCTGAATGGCAGTCAACACACTGCAGATATTATTAGTAGGCAAGGTGACAAAGAGGAGAGAAGGCAGTGTATCAGCTTTCACTCCCATCCTTGCAGAGTAGTAAGGGACTGCCCATGTCTGTTTCCTGTTAAAGCTCCAGGGAAGGATGAGATAGCCACCTACTCAATGTGACTGCAGACACAGAGAAAGATCTGAAACTTCAAGTAAATGGGACACAAGGCTTGCATAACTGTGCAGGGACAACCTTCAACTCTGTACATTTCATACATTTATTAACATTCCTTCCCCTATTCTAGAACACATGTGCCCCAAGAGCAGATACTCGTTTGAAGATCTGGGTTCTTCCTGGGAAGCTGACTTCACCACCCAGTTTCAGGGATGGAGCACATTAGCTAGGATAGGCTAGTGGATGTAATTTCATTCATTAATGTGGTTCAGGGGTGATATGAGTCAATCCAATCAGTGTGAGCTAAGCCAGTTGAAGCAAAATAAATCCCAAATCTCTTGCTGGGAATTCTAAGGTAAAACCACCTTGAATTAGGTTTTCTGTTACATCTAATACAAGCAGATTCAATTATTGTGGTAAAACTGCCATCACCATTTTGGATACAGGAAAACTCAGGGCTAACGAGCCTAAATTCAAGCTAGGATTTAAACCCAGGTTATCCATCTGCACATTCTTTGCCACTATGCTATCCTGTGCTAAGAAAATTGGCCACACTGTTAAAAAAGGAAAGGACAAAGATGAGTAATTTGTCCCCTGCAACAGATAATCCTTTGGGAAAGTTTTCAAGGCCGTATTTTACAAATGTAAGCTGATGGCACTAGGGAAACTCATCATCGAGAGATACTTTCAGAAATGTCTTCATAAAATAAAAACCTGGCTTTTTGTATATGTAAACTTAGACTTTCTTAAAATTGATACTATTTTTGTCTGTAATTATTCATTAAAAAATATTCACTGAAGGTGCCAAGCAAAAGAGCCCTGAATCCAGATATAATCATCTCCATTTTGCACACAAGGAAGCTGAGGACTGGTGAACTTAGGCCCCTTCCCCAAGGTCACACAGCTTTTAACAGATCCAGGATTCAGACCCATATGGCTTGAAAGCCTGTAATCTCAACCACTCATACTGCCTCCCCATGCAATATGAATTATGCCAACAATACAAAATAAGAACATCCAACTAATTACTTTTTCAGAATCTACAAAGTGTGTAGCAATTCCTGCTGTGTACACGTCTCTTCCTTTCAGCCTGAATCCTGTTAATGCAAGGAAGTAACCAAGTTTTCCTTGAAGTCGTGGCAAGAAATAACCTCCACCCACATCAGGGAATAGTCCTGTAATCAAATAACAGAGAGAGATGAAGATTAAAATCAAAGAGATGAATATAACTCTCTTTATATCAGATAGCTATTTCTGTCTGGAGTTTGAATCTACATTTAAAATATTATTAAACTAAGTACTATACAATGTAATCCAAATCACAAAATACTTGCTATAAATTTCGCTAACTTAATTTGGTTATTTTCAAATTTTTCATGTCTTATTTCTATATAAGTCAAAGTATTTGATGACACAATCTTTTATATATAAGTAGTACTTGATAAAAAAAACCTAGTTTTCTTACCACTTATTTACTTTTTAAAAATCTCTGAAATATGTAAGGATTGAAAAAAATACTTTCTTCCTGAATACACATAGGAAAAAATACACATAATCTACAACTATTATATTATATAAAAATTCATTTTTACCATTTAAATCATTTTCCAAATAGTTATCTAATATTTAAGATATTTAAAGTAATGCAACAACCATTAGTTTCACTAAATGGTTTAAACCTAATAAAATCACTTGTATTTATTCTTTATTTAAAATTTCTTTATTCTCTACTGAAACAACTGAAAATAGTATATAGGCAAATACTTTCCAGTGTACCACTTTTTTGGTGTTTAAGAGTTTGTAGGGAAAATGTAAATTCCATGGCCAGGATTCTCACCTGATCCTAATCTCACCCATTATATACATGGGATGAGGTAATACTCAGCCTGCTGCACAATGTACACATACTTGTATACCTGCTGGCAACAGCCATTACTGTGGGGACTGATATAAGAAAAGTTACACCTGGCACTCAGAGCAGAAGGAAGCAAGATAGCCCCATGCTAGGAAGAGAGAACAAAGTCTAGAAAAGAGAGCAGGAGAGAAGGGAGACAGATCATGAGAGGAGGCAGCATCCGGGGCAGTGACTGAAGCCAAAGCTGAGACTGAGAAGGGAGGACAGGATTCTAGTGTCTGACCTGTCCCCATGAGAATAAAGCTTGGGTGAGCTCTGTTTTACCCCCAACATTCCATTGTTGTTATGTGGTCTCACCAAATTCATATTGAACTTGCCAGGACCTGGAGGCCACTCTGGCCTGGAGCCACAGAGTCCTTAAACAATTTTTTGTTCACAAAAATTTTACAGCCCATGTATCTATTCTAAGATTGCTTCATTTAATGATATTGATAAAAACACAAGCATTCATATTCTTTCCAGTCCTACTTGACAAAAAGTTCCTAGACTTGAAAGAATTAGCAGCATTCTACTATAAATAGAGACCTCTCTCCACACCTCAAACAAGATTGGTCTAAATTAATTCATGACCCTCACTCCCACCATCTCCCTCCCACCCCAAGAAAGGGTACAACCATCGAGACCCAGCACCTTCTTCTCTATTACACCCCTCTGAAGCCTCACCATTGTCTGTGTCCTGTTGATCCCTCCTCCAAATGGTTCTCCATACAAAAGCAGAATAAGCTTTTTAATAACACTAATCTTGATCATCTTGCATTCTACTGCTTAAAACTCTCCCATGATTGCCTATTTCTCTTAGATTAAAACCAACTCTTCTATCAAAGTCTTCAAAGTCCCTGACCACCTATTCAATTACATCTCCTTCTGCTCACTCACTGCACTCCAGCCTCTCTGTCTGCTTTCAGGTCCCCAACATTCTACACCCCTACCTGCCCCACAGCCTCAGCAGCACTCTGCTCCAATGGAAACACCCTCTAAACTGAAACACTTCCCTCCTTTCCAGGGCACCATGGTCCCTCTCTCTACCCCCTGCCTCAACAGCTGCTTCTTTCCAGTCCCCCTTTGCTTGACCTCTACATGATGATGCACCTAGGATTGCTCTCAGGCTATCTTCTCCTCCCTACACTTGCATTTCCTTAGTGCTTATGGCTGTAGGTAATATTTAAATGCTAATTATTCCCTGTTATGGACTGAAATGTGCTCCCCAAAATCCTTAAGTTGAAGCCCTAACCCTTAATGTGACAATTTGGAAATAAGGCCTTTACACAGGTAATTAAGGTTAAATGAAGGTAGAGCCTAATCCAAATCTGATGGGTGTCCTTATAAGAATAGGAAGAGACACTAGGGGCACACACATATGTGGACACAGTGAGGAGACAGCTGTCTACAAGTCAAGGAGAGAGGCCGCAGCTAAAACCAGACCTGCCAATACCTTGATCTTGGACTTCCAGCCTCCAAAACTGTGAGAAACAAATGCTGTTTAAGCCACCCAGATGGTGGTGTTTTGTTATGGAAGGACTAGCAGACTATTACATTCCCAAATCTATATATCTGATGATGCCTTTTCCCTTAAATACCAAACTCTGAAATATGCATTCTGGACATAACCACATGTATAGTAAACATCTCAGATATCATGTGGCAAAAATACAATTCTTGATTCTCATCTCACTAACTACATTGCTCCTTCCCTAATTGGCCTCCTCCATCCAATGGTGTAATTTAAACACCTTGGAGTTATTCCTGATTCATTACCTCGGCAAGCCAGGTAACTACAAAACATTTTTTTTTCTTGTTTTAAAATTGTAGTTGACATACAGTATTATATTAGTTTCAGGTGTACAACATAGTGATTCAACCATTAGATACATTACAAAATGCTCATCATAAGTGTAGTTACCATCTATATTACTGACTATATCTCTATGCTGTACTTTTCATCCCCATGACTTATAATCATTGGAAGTTTGTAACTCATTATACCCTTCAACTATTTCACCCATCTCCTTACTCCCTTTCCCTCTGTCAACCATCAGTCTGCTCTCTGTATTTATGAGTCTGTTTCTGTTTGTTCATTTGTTTTGATTTTTAGATTACACATAGAAATGTAATCATATGGTATTTGTCTTTCTCTGTCTGACTTATTTCACTTAGTATAATACCCTCTAAGTCCATCCATGTTGTGTGAGTGGCAGGTTTATTTTTTCGTATAGCTCAGTAATCAAAATCATTTTTCAAATCCATCTACACTATTCCAATTTTATACCTCCAGACTACTCCAAGCCAAAATCATCCCTCTAGATTTTTGCCATCCAACTGAATTTTCTGCAATGCTAAAAATTTTCTATACTCTATGCTGTCCAATAAGGTAGCCACCAGCTATATGTGGCTACTGTATACTTGAAATGTGGCTGGTATGACTGCAGAACTTATTTTAAATTTAATTAATTTATATTTAAATAGCCAGAGGTGGCTAGTGGCTAGTCTTAGACAGCATAGGTCTACATCAATGTAATGACCTCCTAATAAGTCTCCCTGGTACTACTCTTGCACCCCTACAATCCATTATCCTCAAAGCAGCCAGAATGATGGTAGTAAAATGTAAACTAGATCATGCCACTCCCTACTTTAAACTCTCCCACAGTTCCTCATCATATGTATGCTTAAACCCAAACTCTTCACCAGAGGACTCTGTGTACCATTTTCAATAATATAGTATATCATTCCTGCCATGATTCAGTTGCCTCTATCTGGTTTCCTGAGCAGGTGAAATTCATTCTTACTTTAAGATCTTCAGACTAACTTAATGCCACAATATTCTGCTCTAATATATTAATATTATAAGTGGATCCTTCTTCTCATTCAAATGTCAGCTTAAGGGATATCTCCTTGGAGAGCTTATTTAACTTTCTAATCTAAAGTAGCCTAAAGTAATCCAGGAAACTGAACTCTGAATAAGACATAGTAACAGGAACCAGATTTACCCTCCTATCTGAAACAAGTATAGAAACAGATTCAGTGTATGAAATAATGATTTTCAATACACAGGACTGACAGGCAGTAAAGAAAAGTGATCTCTGACTATCTGAAAATAAGTGAAGTCAACCCTTAAGAGCTTCACCTTAATGCCTTCAGAAAATTTACAGGCCAAGCATAGTCCCTGATCTGAGAGGAAGCCAAGAGTCCAGGCAGACCAAGGCAGCTAGAATTTCCAGAACAGAGGAGAGAGTTACAAAGAGAGAAAACTTCGCAGATCTGCAGAGGGTCTCCCATGAGTACTCACCTTGGTACATCTGTAGAGGAAATTGCCTGTGGCTAGGGAAAGAACCACAGTAAAGGATGCACAGAACAGTATTGGGAGCCCACACAGGGCTGGGAATAGTGCCCATTCCCAGCAGTTATACAAGGGAAACTAATGATTCACAAGGCACTGAGTAGAATTCAAAGAAGGGTCTCACTTCAGTAGTGGGAAATAATTTACCCTAGCCTGAACACTCTTCCAATCCTGCATTTAAAAGAAAAAAGAAAAACTTTAAAGACTTTGAAGGATCAAACTGTTTCCAAGTAACTTAAATTCACCTCATAGGCAAGCTCAAGAATACTTATAAGAATACAAAAATATCCAGCACCCAAGTTAATAATGTCTAGAATACAATAGTTACCAATCACCTAAAAGAACAAGAAAATACTATGCATAATGAGGTGATAAAACAATTCATCAAAATTGGCCTATAACTAACATAAATATAAGGATTAGCAGACAAGGACATTAACAGTTATAATAAACATATCTATATTTTGAAAAAGCTAAGTATGAACAAAGAAGATATTTTTTTAAATGATCCATATGATATCCTATAGATGAAAACTAAGGTGAATGTATAACTAAAAAATACCTGACTAGGATTAAGGGCAGAATAGACTCTGCAAAAGAAAGGATTAGTGAATTTGAAGATGCAGGAATAGAAACTATTTAAAATGAAAAAAAAAATTTACATATGAGCAATGCATGAATGAAACTAATACAAATTTAAATGGAGTTTCTTAAAATAGAGTGGGGGAAAGAAAGACATTTGAAGAAATACTGTCAAATTTGGGAAATATGACAAAAACAATACACCTAAGCAGCTCAATAAACAAAAGCATAACAAACATGAAGAAAAATACACCAAGGTACATCATATATAGCCACAAACATTGATCAGTTAGAAATCTTAAAAGCAGCCAAAGAAACTAAAAATGCACCTACTTACAGAATAA